CACACACACACACACACACACACACACACACACACACACACACACACACACACAAAATGCCCTACAGAAAGACCCCAGGTGGGATGTGAACTTGCTGTGAGGTGACAGCTCCTGGCCTCAGCCTCAGTTACTTCCAGCCTTGTGGAAAACTTTGCTGCTTGTATCACTACACGTTGCATTTGTTATAATGAATGTGACAGATATCTGAAAAGTAGCAGTGGTTTAGCCAAACTGAAAAACTTAACAGATCAAAAACACACATGAACCCAACTTACACTGATATAGTCCTTTCTGTCTTTGTAAATATCAGTCCCATGAATGTTGGCCAGCACACTGCAGCGAGGGCTGGAATAAAAAAACAAAACAGAACACAACACTATTAACAAGCTGATGACAAAGCTTACAGATTTGTCAGTTATGTAATAACTTTTAAAAACACTTTTAGACTGTGATTCATGGTAATGTAGGGTAATTAATGTTTTGAAAAGACAACAAAAGACATAAATGCAACTTCATAGAATCTGTTATTGCATTAAAATGGAGTGACTGTTCAGAAACTTACAACTGAACCCTGAGGACAACACTGATCAGCTCCACACCGAGGCCTACAGCCAATCCAAGATCCAGACCCAGCAGCACAGCTGCAACACAAGTGACCAACCACACCACCTGAAGACAGCAAGAGGCTTTGTTTTGTTGCAGCTGTAGTGAAAAAAGTTGGCTAAAATAACCAAAAATTGCTAAATTAACCCACAACTCCTGTTCCAAAAATGTTAGCACAATGTGTAAAATAAATAAATTAATTAATTAATTTTAAAAAGCAGAATGCGATCATTTGTAATTCTCAAACCAATTTAAATTTACAATGAAACATACTAAACTTATCAAATGTTAAGTTGTACAACATGCTGGACAAAACCAAAAAGAAAAAATAATTGTTACTGCTACTGAATTTAAAATGACCTTATTTAAAAATGGTACATTTTTTAAACATTTGATGTTTCCCTTGTTTTGCAAATTATAACATTCTGCTTTTATTCATGTTTTACCAAACATCCAATCTTTTAGGAACAGGGTTTGTATAAGTCACCATGTCATATCTTACACAGTCTGGCTTATCTCTTCTCCACAGATATGGGACCTCTCTCATTTGCATCAGCATTCCCTTCAGGTTGACGATGATCACAGCACCCAGCACAGACTGTTAAAAGGCACACACAAAAAGTAATAAAAAAAAAATACATGAATAGTCCGGGGACCTTTCTGGGTAGAGTTTGCATGTTCTCTCCGTGCATGCGTGGGTTCTCTCCGGGTACTCCGGCTTCCTCCCACAGACCAAAAACATGACTGTTAGGTTAATTGATATCTCTAAATTGTCCCTAGGTGTGAGTGAGAGAGTGAATGGTTGTTTGTCTCGTTTGTCTATGTGTGGCCCTGTGATGGACTTGCGACCTGTCCAGGGTGTACCCCGCCCCTCGCACTGTGACTGCTGGATATGGGCACCAGTGACCCACGCGACCCTGAAAAGGAAGAAGCGTGTACAGAAAATGGATGGATGGATGGATACATGAATAGTCTTTGATATTTTTATTGCCTGCCAACAACAGACTATATTAATTTTGCATCCACAATTGATAAACATAAAAAAGGCCACCAGAACTAGCTAGGCTTTTAACTCAGTCAGTTTGACAGATATTGAGCTTTTGATTTGGTAGCTGAGAGCCACTCACATGAAATACTTAGACTGACATTCTTTAATAAACTGTAAAGTTATTGTGTACAGCTATTTTCAAAATTTAACCAAAAACTGTTACAAGATTATCCTAGTTTAGAACTCTGGCATAAAAATTAATTCTTTAAATGATGATACCATATTAAATAATTACATATTTTGTGCAGGGTGGTGTACAGTTTACCTTTGGTAACGGCTCCAGAAGAAATCCAGCTGCCAGAGTGACAATCATCACTATAATAGCAGAAAGTAAACCAGCCACCTGGAAATGAGAGGAGTATTAAACTGGTGAAAGTACAAAACAAGAGAAACAAGACTTTTGAGTGCAAATGGTTTTGGTTAAAAGCATGAAACAACTAAATAAATAAATAAATAAATAAAAAACAAAGCACTAGCTAAAAGCTAAAAGAAAAAGCTAGTTAAAAATTAAAACTAGATAAAACATTAATTAAAAGTAACAAAACTCTAGCTTGTAGTTAAACTTAAGAAATTACGCTTCCAAACGAAGTTTTTAGAAGTTTAAAAATGCTATAAAAAGCACACTTCTACATTAAATACAAAAGTAGTACAAGGGTAATTAAAATGAAAAGGTACAAAATGTGGTACATAAACGTATAATAATAGCTAAAAGCTATTGGTAACGGCAAAGCTAACTAAAAACAAAACATTTACTAAAAGCCAAAAATTGCTAAAGCAGAAACAAAATGCAAGGTAAATGCTACTAGTAACAAAACTACAACTTAAAAGCAAAATATTAGCTAAATGCTAAAAGGAGCTAAAATGAGCAAAATTAAACTAAAAGTACCCCAAAAATCGAATAAGGAATGTAAGAAAGTAAGTAAGACCAATAACAATAAAGTCACAAAACTGTAACTTAAAAAGCAAAATACTAACTAAATACTAAAAGTAGTTAAAGCTAAAATGAGAAAAGTAGCAAAAACATTTTAAAAAGGAAAGTATGCTAAAGTAGATTGCAAAGAAAACAGTGTTTTGATGGAACTGGAGATATAGAGCAGAGGTTCTCAAATGTAGCTTCTGGGCCCTCAAGAAATTACAATAAGTTGTTTTTTGTTGAGAGTTGGACTCCGCCAAGGCTGCCCTTTGTCACCGATTCTGTTCATTACTTTCATGGACAGAATTTCTAGGCGCAGCCGAGGTGTTGAGGGGTAACTTGGATTGGAATGTCAAACCCAAACTTTGTTTACCTCAAGACTGTGGCCTCTAAGCATTATTC